GATATACATTCATTTGAATTAACTTAAAAGCGAATAATAATAAATTTTCTTAATTCTTTTTGTCAATGAAAAGCATAACAAATCTGGAATACTAAGCCAAATAGACAATCAATATGAAGCATTAACATAAAAAAAAAAAAAAACTTTGAAGACTATATGTATATATATCCTCTATATTATTGATATATGTGTATTACTATGTGTAAAAATATGTTGTAGTTGTACTATGTATTTTAATATTAATTAGTATTTTACTTCTTTTTTGGTTTTTTATTATTTCTCATTTGGCTTTTAAAACTCGTACTAAAATTTCGATTAAATAAAATTGAGTATTGTAAGATCTATTCGAAGATGGCACGCCTAATCGAATATTTTGGAAATGTTTTTATATAGTACATCACCTTCAACATACTTATTCAAAAACAATTATTTATTGATAAAATTAAATCAATTTCAATACTAAAAAGTGCTTTTAATATTGTATACTTATCAGTTACGCTACAATAAAAATAATTTTTAGCAGCATTAAATATTAACACCAATAAAGAGTGTTAAAGTTTTTACCGATATTAATTAAGTGACATTAAAATCAACGTCGCTAAAGGCTCTAGAGACATACACAAAGAGTGATAATTACCGCTAAAAATACATATTTAACGACAATTAAGAATTGAATGCACTGATTGACTTAATCATATAGTAGTGCCATCAAATGTACAATTAATAAAGCTTTTGTGTGACATGCTGGTTTATATTTTAATATAACTAAATAGTCGTTCAAATTCATCTCAATTTACATGATAATATTTGAATTTAGCAAGTTAAGTAAAAAAGATTAATCGTAATTTTTTTATACCTTTTAAATGATTTAAATTATTAATTATTATTTCACTTGCGACATTTTTACATAATTGTCAAAACTACATATATTATTTTTCAAATTTAAAAATGCTAATAATTACATTTCGAATAATGCCCAGATATTCCAAAAGAAAAACTTTAATTATTGAAGTATGTTCATTTATTATGTAATATGTTTTTCAAAACTCAAAAGTGATTCCATTGTTACACTTTTATGATGTGTGTATTGTGCTTTTGTGCCTATAATATACTAAGAGCATATGATTCCTCTTGTTGGTCATAAATATACAAAATAATGAGACATATAATTATATTTCAAAGTAGAGGGATACACTATTTTTATTTATAAAAAAAAAGAAAGAAAAAATTCGTAGATTTACTTTTTAGATTTTTATTATTAACTTACTGAGTACACTTCTGGAATTAGTCTTTTTATAAATTTATTTAAAAAGAAACAAAGAGAAGCGAATGAAAATGATAATTAAATCGTGATTTGTTATAGTATTAAATCAGTTTTTAAAAATAGATGCGAAGGCATATTATGTGAAATGAATAAAAATGTTCTATGTTTAATGTTTGATCCATAAATGTCTTTACTGTTAATACTTGATCCAAAATTACTTTTATTGGACCAAAATATTAGACACAATTTTTATTTTTTTGGGACCAAATTATAAATGAAGGATATTTTTGTTCACTTAGATTAAGGGTAATTTTTACCCTTTTCCAAAAATTAATTGATTAAAAATATTTAAATCAACAAGGGACATCGATACATATTGACAAATAAATATAATTTCGAGTGCTACCAATGAGGATTGTAATAAAATGATAAGTATTCCTTAAACACTCTTAATCAGAGATCTCGAAATTAACTTTTGAGTACCCCTTGTTATGGAGTCACCTTTGCCAGGGAGATTAAAGTAAGATTCTCCTTAATTAGTCGCTTATTGGGAAAAAAGATATTTAACGTAATAATCTTTTTATCAAACAAAATAATTATGTAAATTAAAGTCAACATTGTAAGAGCAACTTTAAGGCTACCAAAATGAAGTACAAATATTAAAATACAAAGTACAACACATATATGCATAGTGCATATATTGTAAGTAGTTAAACATTACTCTTGCATTATTAATAATATATCTCTAACTATTATGTTCATCAAATCGCAAACACAATAAGTTAGTCCAAAAAAAATAATATTGCTAAAAAGAATGAAATTGTTTCGTTGATGACAATTATGATGATGCTAATTTTGATCTCTAATTCAAAATTAGTATATAGTAAATTGGATGAATATTGTTTTAAGGAGTGTATTAGAGGATGTCAAGGTCAAAAAAACCACAATTATTATTTAGTTTGTGAAAAAATATGTGAGGATCATGGTCAAATATTGAACTATTGCAATCTTGATTGTTCAATTAATAAATTTTCAAGTCTAGTTAAAGATATCTTCTTCTTCTTTTCCGACTTCTCTTTCATTACAATTTTTATAATTGAGGATTTATCGAAAACAGGTTTCTATCCCAACAACAATAAGGATATGATCTACATATATCTTATTCTTTTCAGATCATTACTTGTGAAATTACACGATTGTTTATGTATGTTATTTTTATTGATTTAGGGTTTTGTTAGATTGTTTTTATGTATGTTGTTATTGTAAATTTTATTCGAGTCATTTGTTCTCACACCACAAGATCGATTAAGAATAAACTCAACATATAGGGTTCAATTGAAAGATCGATTTTATGTTGTCGATCCATTACAGATGTTTGTTTAGGCATATGATCCTTTTCTAAAGAGATCAGATCAGATATTCATCACCAAAAAGACTTTATTCTCGCAGTTCGAATTTAAGATTTTTAATTAGAGATGAAGTAATATTTACTACTCTACCACAATTGTTGATGTTTAAAATCATATATTTTTATTATTATTATTATTATTTAATTTTCCTCCCTTTTTACTACTAACTTATTTATTTTATATAGTTATATTCATGATTGTTCCAATAATGACCGCAAGAATTAGAGCTTAATTAGAGGATATAATCTTCAAAGTTTTATTTTATAATTATAGTTTTTGTAAAACAAAAGCTAGTCAATGAAATTATAGTCAACATTTCAATAGTACAAGTTTATCTAAACTATATATTAGATTAATATTCATAATTTCTTTTATTTTATTTTTGTAAAATGAATTAAGAAATGTAGACCAAAGAAATATAATTTTGAATTAGTCAAATAAGTAAATACTAAACACTAAATACTTTTTTAATAAAATTAAATGTAATCTCTTCCTTAGTAAAGTAGACAAATCTAATTATTTACACTTATAATATTAATGACCTGTTAAATTTTTTTTTAAATAAGAAGTACCATTTGATCATCAAATCACAAAACAATAAATTAATTCAAAATAAAATATGGCTAAAAACAAATGTAATCACTCAAAAGAAGAATTAATAAGAATAAACATGACTGGGGTTGAAAGATCATTTTAATATCGATCCATTCACTTTGGGGTTCTCTCATTAATTTAAATTTGCGCTTAAAATATAAGAGATTTTTATATGGTTATTTTCTTCACGCTTTTTTATAATAAAAAAAAGTAGTAACTATTAATTTGATATATGATACATTCACTTTGGGGTTCTCTGATTAATTTGAATTTACACCAGAAAGTTAAATTTTTTGGGGTAAAATATTCTTAATTACTAAAGATGGCTTTATTTTTTATGCTAGAACTTGAGATTTCTAATTTAAAATGAAAGAGTATTTCTCACTCTATTACAAATATTGATGGTTAAAATCGTTTTTTCTAAAAAAAAATTTTTTTTTGATTAAAATAGATATTAAAGTATTTTCAAATAGTACAAGTTCATCTATACTATTTATTAGATTAATCTTCACAATTTATTTTTTATTTTGCTAAAATAAATTTAAAAAGTTGAAGTGTCATTTTGAAGTTAAGAAAATATAATAAATGGAAATTTTAATTAAACCATGATTTTTATAGTATTAAATCATTAAGAATATAAAAAAAATTGTAAGTAGAGCTATTAGCAGTTCAAACTCATTTTTGCAAATGAAAAAATTAATCTATGAAACTATTGTTACATTAATATTAAAAGAAAAAACTTTTTTTAAAAAAAAATTAAGAAAAGTTGAAGTGGCATTTTGAAGTTAGAAAATATCATAAAATGAAAATTTTAATTTAACTGTAATTCTTTATAATGTTATAAATTCATTAAAATTACAGAAAATTCCATAAATAGCACATTCACCATTCATTCATATATATAATATTTTTAAAAATATATAAATATTTATATACATGATTTTAAAGTTCTATATCAATTCGTCCGATAGGTATGTGAATTGAGACGATTTATTTCATATTCGAGACATTTAATTAAGACGGACAATTCACTCCAATGACAAAACTTCTCTTTTAAGTCTTAAGTAAATAAACCAAATTATTCAAATCTAGCTACATTAAATTTATTTATTTTTCAAATAATCTATATTGTATAACAGATTTATTGCTCCTACAAAATATGTCAATTGTTTTTTGTTTTTTTTTTTGTTTCCCACGTACCCAATGTCCAGAGCTCACATTGAAGCTCTGACTAAATTCAGATCGTGCACTGCAGGGCTCATCCGGGAGTGGTGCTCCCAACAGAATTTTCTCCATACTCAAGGCTCGAACCCGAGACCTCTGGTTAAGGTTTCAGTATATATATATTCTTTAATTTCCAACAAATTTGTTGATCTTAAAAATATGTCAACTATTTTAATATCCTAAAATAATCATGTGATGATATGTATATACCAAAGTTATTGCTTTTCCAAATATATCAACTATTTTAAATATATCCTTTAATTTCCACATATGTATAAATAATAGTAATAGATTTGATGCTCTTACAAATATATTTACGGCTTAAAATATCCTTTAATTCTCATATATATGATATATATATATATATACCAAAAAAAGTCAATTATTTTAAATATATTTAATTCAATTTCCATATAAGAAGATAGTGGTAATTTAATGCAAGATCAACAACACAACTATATAAGTCAAATATAACTAATGACTCAAAATATAATATATTATAAGGCACCCAAAAACATAAAGTTAGTTAACCCAAAAAAATAAAAAATATGGCAAATATTATTTCATTTATGAAATTAATGTTAATGCTTATTTTGATCTCTAATTCACAATTTGTTAATTGTAAATTGGATCAAAAATGTTTTAGGGATTGTATTAAAGCATGTTTCCAAAACCCTGGATGTTATATATCATGTGCAAAAGAATGTCAAGTTTCTTCTCTTAATTATAATGTTTTTTCTACAATGGATTATTGCAATCTTGGTTGTTCAATTGATAAGTGTGCAAGTTTAATCAAAGGTAACTTTTTCTTTTTTTAAAAAAAAAATTCGAATTGATTTTTATGATGCGTTATAAATTTTTTTTAGTTATATATAAGGTTATTTAAAAAAAGATTTATAAGTAGAATGTATCAGATTTTTATTTGGTAATTTTTTTTTAGTCGAATTGTAGCTGGTCATAGAAAATCATTTTCTCCTTGGGATTAATGTGTGGCGTGTCATTTCTTTTGCTCGTATAGATCTTAGAGATTTTTTAATATTTGAGGAGATTATGTTTTAGGATTAGTTATAAATGCTCGATGATAGAGGCGAATCTATAGTAATAAATGCACTTCATTTGATTTCGATATTTTTTGTTCAATTTTGTAGTTGTTTTAAGAAATTCATGAATATTTCACTTGGAGTTCAGTTATCTTTTTATTTTTTTCATGTTATTAATGGACATGTTAGACTACGCTAAAAAGATTTTTTTCGAGTAAATTGAAATTTTTTATGAGAAATAGTAAATTATGGTACATTATGTTGAAGGACAACTTTCCAAAGGTTATATTTACAAAATTTATAAGAAAATTGGATCAAAATTTGATTATTAACATAAATAAATCCTTAATTTGATATTATTTTAGAAATTCATAAACTTTAAGTTTTAGATTTATCTATGAATGAATTAGTCATTTTCGTATATTTAAATCGTAACGGAACATATTTTGAATTTTTTCTTTTTATCTTTATTGTTATTACTTTTTTTTTTCCTTTCAAATTCATTAACATATTTATTTTGTACAGATGACAAACAATGGAAAGGATGCATGAAGGATTGTTTTGGCGATTATTGCAAAATTGGAGCTTAAAAGATAAATTAGAAAATTAATTAATTAATGTGATATCATTAATTAATGTTGTGAATGAAAAAGTAATCATAATGTCTATCTTTTCTATATAATAAATATAGGTGTTTTTCTTGAATCTCTATTTTAAAAAACTAATTGAAAGATAATATTTCTGTTTTATATTTAAGTAAAATGTTGATTTCGTTGTTTATTATTTTAAATTCATAAAGTTTAAATCATGAATTTTTTTTATTTAGTGAATTAAAACTAATTCTTATTTGCGAGACTCAAAATTGAAGCTTCGGAGGGAGAGGAATCTCATAGGTACAAAGTAGAAAAGAAAAAAAGAATCTCTGATTGGAATAATTTTTTAGATCGCAAATTTATCGAAATTGAATTTGTAAAAAGAAACAAAAGTTGGTGAAAGGGTAGGATCAGTCAATAGGTTAATAACTAGGCAATAAATGGCTGACAAGACAAATTAACATAACTAGCCATTTGCAGAAAAAAGAAAAAACAGATAAATATAGGGAAACTTTAACTTATAGCCATTTACAAATAGCCTAATTATTCTTCATAGCTATAGTTTGATAATTATAATACGTAGCTACATATATCGAGGAGAGAGGCGAGCGAGACTGGGAGAGAGATGACAGAGGCAAGAGAGAGGGGGAAAGAGTGGGAGAAAGGTGAATTATATATGTATATCAGTTAGATAATTGTATATTTTACATATGTATTTGTATATATGGCAAGCGAGATCATGAGAGGGAGGAGAGAGGCTAGAGAGACAGGGAGATGGAGGATAGAGGCGAACGACATTGGGAGAGGGAGGAGAGAAGCGAGTGAGAGAGGGAAGATAGTGAGAGAGAGGTGAATTGTATATGTATATAATTGTATAATATACATATGCATTTGTATATATGGCAAGCGAGATTGGGAGAGCGAGGAGAGAGACAAGCGAAATTGGGAGAGGGAGGAGAGAGGCGAACGAGAGAGGTCAGAGAATGGGAGAGAGATGAATTGTATATGTATATAGGTTAAATAATTGTATATTATACATATGTATTTGTATATTCTGGCTAATTATACATATAAAAACGTAAGTAATTATACAAACTTGAAGTCAATCCACATAATTAATGTATAATGTTAGTCATGAACGGTAATTATAGCAAACTATAGCTATGATGAGTAATTAAATAATATATATTTGCTTTATTACATAATTTTTCCATAAATATATGATATATGCATATTAGTGTATACAATATACTTAATGATTTACAATCTAGCCACATTTACTTAATTTTTATTTCAAATAATCTATATTGTATAACAGATTTATCGCTCCTACAAAAATGTCAATTGTTTCAATATATATGTTGACCTTAGAAATATGTCAACTAAAGTTATTGCTTTTACAAATATATCAACTATTTTTGATATATATCCTTTAATTTCCACACATATATAAAAATAATAATAGATTTGATGGTCTTACAAAAATGTTGACTGTACAAATAAATATCGTATAATTTTCATATATATGATACATAACATAAAAAAAAGTCAATTATTTTAAATATATTTGATTTAATATACATATAAGAAGATATTGATAATCTAATAAAAGATCAAACAACAACTATATAAGTCACACATAATGACTCAAATCTATTTATTATAAGGCACCCAAAAACATAAAGTGAGAACAATTAAGTTAACCAAAAAAATATGGCAACTATTATTTCATTTATGAAATTAATAATATGATTCTCACTTTGATCTCTAATTCACAATTCTTCTCTTAATAATGTTTTGTCTCCAATGGATTATTGCAATCTTGGTTGTTCAATAGACAAGTGTGCAAGTTTAATCAAAGGTACATTTTTAAAAAAAGTTTAAGTAGATCTTTATGACGCGTTATAAATGTTCTTTTAGTTATATATATGATCTTTTTAAAGAAGATTGGTAAATAGAATGTGTAAGATCTTTATCTGATCATTTTTTTTCTAGTTGGATTGTAACTGGTCATAGAAGATAATTTTTTTTGGAATTAACGTGTGTTGTGTCATTTTTCTTTCTCTTATATAGATCTTTAAGAATTTCAATATTATAGATGTTATTTTGGTTATATGATAGGGACAAATCTTTAGTATTAGGTACGATTTATCTGAGTTTAGTACTTTTATTTAAATATTATATTTATTTGAGAAATTCATGAATATTTATCTTTAAATTCAATTGATTAATGAACCTTTTAGACCACACAAAAAAAAGATTTCTTTTGAATAAATTGAAAAATCTTATGAGAAATATTAGTATATTACGATATGTTGTTTCTAAAGGTTATATTTACACAATTTATAAGAAAATTGGGTTAGAATCTAATTATTGGCCTAGAAATCGAATAGTAACATAAATAAATCCTTAATTTGATATTGTTTTAGAAATTCATAAACTTCAAGTTTTAGATTTGTCTATGAGTGGATTAGTCATTTTCGTTTATTCAAATCGTAACTAATCATATTTTGAAATTATATTTTATCTTTACTGTTATTATTTTGTTTCTTTCAAATTCATTAACATATTTATTTTGTACAGATGACAAACAATGGAAAGGATGCATTAAGGATTGTTTTGGCGATTATTGCAAAATTGGAGCTTAGATGATAAATTAGAATATTATTAATTAATTAATTAATTAATTAATGTTATATCATTAATTAATGTTGTGAATGAAAAAGTAATCATAATGTCATCTTTTTTATATAATTGATGTTTTCCTTTGAATTTCTAATTAAATTAATTAGAAGATAATATTCTCTTTCTATTTTAAGTAAATGTTGATTTCACTCTTTCATTATTTTGAATTCACAAAATATAAATTCTGCATCCTTTTCTAACTAGTGAATTAAAATTGATTCTTTGTTTTCAAGATTCAAATTCGAAGCCTCTGATTAGGGGGGAGGGGGGGACTTCATAGGCATAAAATAGAAAAGAAAAGAAAAAATTCCCAAAAGATTCTCTTGGTCGAATAATTTTTAGATCGCAAATTTATTGATATCAAATTGTAAAAATTATCAAAAGTTGGTAAAAAGAAAGGATCAGCTACACAGAGTAAAGTTAGGTGGGGGCCTATGGGTTCGGACAAACTCAATAACTTTTCTGTAAATTTTGTATTTGTATTAGAAAATTAAATAAATATATATGTATATTAACTCGTGAACCCCTAAAAAGAATTAATTAACAACGTAGCGATAAGGAAGATATCTTGGAAAGCAACAATTGCGTTGCGGGCTTGAATCTCACTATCAACAAAAAAAATCCTTTATTTTAATTTTTTTAAATCTTCACTCTGTCTCTGAACTCAGTCAATAGATTACTAACCAACAAATGGCTAAAATAAGAGAAATTAACTTAATTAGTCGTCCGCAGAACGATAAATATATGATATATGTATAATTAGTGTATACAATATACATATATTGAATAGCAAATAACTAGTAACTATAAATATTTTTGATCGAGTGATCAAATACGTAACTTCCCCTAAAGATAACTAAACCATAAACAAAAAAATAAATTTTACTCATAAGATTATTTCTTCTTTGTTTTTAACTAAAAGGTCCTCTTTAATTTTACCAAGTCTATTCACTACATCTTTCATATTTACCCTCTCTTCTTGTCTTTCTTTTGTACATTCCAAAGCCAACTCCAACATATTAAATATGCAAATCTCATGATTTTCTCCAAAGAAAATATTTTCATCAACAATTGTCTTCAAAGAAGTTGGAAATGATTCACTTACCCATTGCCTCAAGTTCATGTTTTCATTGAAAAGTTCATTTGTTGGTCTTCTTCTTGTCAATATCTCTATTAACATTATGCCGTAACTATAAACATCACCACTCGTGGACACTATTCCCTCCGAGCCATACTCTAAAAACACACACAGAAAAAAAAAGGAAATTAATATGTTATAACGAGTTTAATATAACGATAGTGTAAAAAGCTTCTATACTATCAATAGATACAAGTTAAATCCAGTTGATTCTACCCTAGTCTATAAGGGGTAGACTTTTCTTAGTTCAAGTTATTTTTTGAGTGGGGTCCACAATAGAGTTCATGCCACCACGATCTATATGAAAGGGCAGTTTAGTTGATACAACCAATAAGGGGCAAAGATAAGCCCTTTTGCTACTAAGAAAAGCGAACGGCGAGCTCAAAGGTTCAAGACTTAGCCGAGCATTAATGAAGCTAGATTCGCGCAAAGTAAGCAGCACCGAAGTCACCTTAATTGGCCAATATTCTATTTTTCAGAGAGAAGAATGACCGAAAATATGCCTTATATTAGGAAGAGTAGTCAGAGAAGAATTGTTTACCTGGTGCAATGTAGCCAATGGTGCCCAATGTGTTAGTTTGTGCCATGGAGTTGTTTTCACCTAAAATCTTTGAAATGCCAAAATCACCAACATGTGCCACCATGTCACCATCTAATAAAACATTTTGAGGCTTTAAGTCACAATGGACTATAGGTGTATCATAACCATAGTGAAGATATTCCAATGCCATTGCAACATCAAGCATTATGCTAACTCTTTGAAACATGTCTAAGACTTGATGTTCCTTATCATACAACCAACTTTCAAGGCTTCCATTTGGCATATACTCGAGAACGATGGCTCTAACGTATTGATTGGAACATGTAGTGATCACCTTAACAAGATTTCTATGTTTAATGCTTCTCATCACTTGACATTCAGTATCAAACCTCTTGCATCCTTCCTCATTTAGCATATTTAGAACCTTTATCGCGACTGTAGTTCCATTAGCTAATATGCCCTTGTAAACAGAACCAGAACCTCCTGAACCAATCATGTTAGAGCCACTGAAACTATCCGTTGCTTGTTGAAGTTCACGGTATGTGATCAACTGGTGTGTTGTGATTTCTGTTAACTCTTGATCATGTTCTTGAAGTTTTTTTCTTCTTGATCTTCGCTTAATCCATACGAACAGAACAAGTAGTATGAGGAGAATTGATGCAATCACAGGAATGACAACTACTAGCACATGTTTCTTAGACTTTGATCGTTTCGTTGCACTATTCGTAGCACATTGAGAAACTTCTGTTATGGGTTTTCCACATAAACCTCTATTTCCAACAAAAGATTGAGAAGAAGA